CATCAGCGGGCTCAACTGGAACAACATCGTTAACAGAAGCAGGTTGATCTTCAATCGCAGAAATTGGTGCATCAACAGACGAAGTCTCAGCCTGGCTTGCAACAAGAGGCACGGTTGGGCTTGAAGAAGGTGCGATAGCCGAGGCAATTTCAGCGTTCATGGGGACTTCAACTGCGAGAGTTTCAACCAAGTTTCAATCACGGGAGCTTCAACTCCGGGAGCTTCAGCTTCGGGAACTTCAATCGCGGGTGAAGGGAAGTCCAGTGGTTGTTGAGCTTTTTCAATGGTCTCCATGACTTTAGCTATTGAAGTTTTCTTGGCTAGCTTCGACTAAAGCATCACGCCGAGAGTTCAGAAAAGCCCAGCTTACATCAATGGTAGCCTTATCTTCAAGGAGCTCATAATCTCTTTTCCAAGTAACAATTTCGTTCTTGAGTTCTTCATTTTCAGCCAAGGCTAAGTTGTAAGAGGCTTGGATAGAGGCATGAGATTTTTCTATTCTTGAGTTCTTCATTTTCAGCCAAGGCTAAGTTGTAAGAGGCTTGGATAGAGGCATGAGATTTTTCTAAGGCATGCACTTTGCCACCAGAAGTTCGCAGATCTTCTTGTATCTGAGTTAAACTCTGCATCAGATCTGCAACATAAACTTCTTTTTGACTTAAAAGAGCTTTCAACTCTCTATTCTCTTCACTTGCCTTAGATAATTGCTCTGAGAAAGAAGACTCGAGACGTTCTCTTTCTTTCTCTGCCTGACTTGAAGAAGCCTTGGCAACCGCAAGCTCTGAGGATAATGCTCTTATCTACTGTTCCAGGTTATTCTTGTTCTCTTGCAAATCTTCTATAGTAATTTGTGCACTATCAAATTGTTCCTTCCAATTAGCTGCTTCCAACTGAGAGTCACGAGCTACCCTCTCTGAATCAAGAACAACCTTTTCAGAATCACGTGCCACCTTCTCTAATAAAGAAACTCTGCTCATCAGCTCTGTACCAATGAGATTGGCCTGAAAATGATAAGGGAGGAAAATAAGAATTCTAGAGAAAAATTTTGCAAAGTAAAGAAAGAAGGAAAATACCTTCAAGGTAGCATGAACTATGTCGTTCATCAAAGTTAGACAGCTATGGCTATTCATTTTTTCTTTCTCAATAGGGCCAATTAAAGGCTCAAGCCAAACATCTGCCTAACCAGATTTCCTCAAAAGGCTGTTGTTAGCAGGAACTTCAATAGTCACGCTCCTCATAGCAACACTTCTACTCGTACAACCCACTTCTGTATGATGGACAATAGAAGGAGGAACTGCCAAAGGAGGAGCGGTAGAAGAAGTAAAAACAGCAGAGGGAGGTACAGAAGCAGGTGGAGCAGGTAAGGAAGGGATCAAAGGCACGACAGGAGAAGGAAAAGAAGGAATTGAAGATATGGGAGTTGAAGAGGAAGACAAGGGAAGTTCATCCAAAACAGGCCCTAACTCACCACTCTCGAAACCACTAACGAAAACTGGTTAATAGAGTCACGAGTGTCACGAGGGGTAGTAACGTCATCATCAGAGACGAGATGAACATGCCCGGTAGGTAAAAAATGAAGAGAAACTTCGGCTTCGTCAAAGATGATACATCTCTTAACTCTTGGCCTTGTCATCAAAGAACCACCTTCATCTTCTTCCTCGGAGTCATCTTCTTCAATGGTTTTTCTTTTCAAGAGTATATCCTGAGCCCTTTCTAAGGAAATTTGAGTTCCTGAAGAGGAATGAGAGGCCGCAACTGCTTCAGCAGTAACACCTCGAATAGCAAATCCTGACAAAGAGAAGGATGAAAGTTAAAGCAATAAAGGGGAAAAAAAATTACATACGAGAAAGACAAAAACTCTTACCGTGAGTCTTTACTTTCCAACCGTAACGATTGGAGATATATTTCCAAGACCTAGCCTCCATAGGCGCATCTTCAACAATTTATCTACCCAACTACGAAAATTGGGAACGTTCTCCACAACTCCCATGGTTGCTGAAAAAAAAAGTTAAAGAAATTGATAAACTCGAAAGAAAAAGGTACGAGAAAGGGTGAGAGACTTACGTGCAAAGTTCCACTTATCAGGAAAGGGAACGTTTTCTTCCCCCACTAAACCAACTGTGGGGGCAGCAACAAACTGGCCATACCAGCCACGATCCTTATCATCTTCTGGGCTCACCAAAATCCTCTTACTCCTAGCCACTAAGGTAAAAACGCCATTGCGAAGAAGTCTAGGTGTGTAGAGATGAATTAGGTGAGGGAAGGTAAAATTAACATCCGCCAAATTGGCCAGATGTCTTAAACAAGCAACAACTCTCCATACCAGCGGGCCAATCTGTGCTAAACAGACTTTGAAGAAACGACAGAAATCGAGGATCACTGGATCAATAGCTGGTTTAAACCCAAAAGTAAAAGGGTATGTGTAAACAAACGAGAGTCCAGTCATATAGGAAGTTATTCTTTGATTTGGATTGGGGATTACAATGGGAAAATCATCACTTCAGTGGCAATCTTTGCGGACTATGGGAGCTAAAACCTCTGTAATCAAAGTGGGGTAAGCGTCGGCACGATCCAAACCAGAAACTTGGCTTTGAAGTGATTGTCTATCATGATTAAAAGATAAATCGCTAGGGACTATCCCTTCTACCAAAGGCTCCTGTAATGGTTTAGAGGGTTCCTTGCCCTTAGAAGATGATTTTTGGGTAAAAGAACCTCTAGTTCTAGAAGAAGGACCAGGGCTAGAAGAAGGCATAACAGAACCACTACCACGAGAGGAACCTACGCTACGAAGTCTACCACCCCTTCTATGTCTAACAGGGGCATTGGGAAAGTTGTCTAAAATAGGAACTCTCCTAGGGTTAGGGTTCGAAGAAGACATGATGAAGAAGAAGAAGAAGAAGAAGTGAACAGAGATTTGCACAGTTCAAATGTTCGAAAAAGTTTTATGTGGTAAAAAGTAAAAGGTAAAATCATATTTATAATGAAGGGAGATCGTCAAAAGTGAAAATGCAGTAATGGAAGGGTCATAATAATGGTAATTGGTATTTCGTAAATAGTGGAGCTGTGAAAAAGTCCTTGAAAAGGGGTGCAAACTGCAGAATTGATAAGGAGTTGACACGTGTGAAGATCATTAAATAGAAGTGACCATTGAAGCGTCAATCTTGTCATAGCATTAATGGTGACAAAAATTCTCCTTTAATGAAATCCACTTCCCAAATATTCAACTGACGAATAAATGAAAAGTGGGGGGACTATCTGTATTTGTCACGATCCGGATTTCCCACCCTCGGGGGTCGTGATGGCGCCTACTCGTAGAAGCTAGGCAAGCCACACATTTAGAATCCATAAGTACTTTTGTTTTAGATACATTTTTACTAATTAATTTAGCAGGAAATAAATAATTAAACAACAACGGAATTCGTAATTTAGCGGAAGACTTAAACGAAATAAACCAAGATAATAAGGAAGATCCACATATGCCTCTACCCAGAACTGGTGTCACAACATTCACGGACTACTAAGATTTACTACATACAACCGTTTGAAAGAGAGTAACATTGTCTGTCTCGAATACAAGAGATAACAGAACATAAATAAGGATAGAGGAGACACCGGCCTGCGGACGCCTGCAAGGCTACCTCGGTGTCTCGGAGGACTGCAGGCTGGCTCCCGAGCTACTACTGTTGTCCGGTACCTGGATCTGTGCAAAAGAGCACAGAGTGTAGTATTAGCACAACCGGCCCCATGTGCTGGTAAGTGCGTAGCCTATCCCCGGCGAAGTGGTGATGAGGCTAGATCGGACTACCACATAAACCTGTGCAGTAATATATATATCTACAACGGGAAAATAACAAGAATAACCATTTTAAATGGGAAGGGAACATGCTTCGGGGATAATAGATAATACAGAAATTCAAGAGAATAATAAAGAACATCAATAAATTATCCCTAACACGGATAAGGAAAATTAAAGCAGATTTCACTGTCTGTACACATCTCGTTGCAGGCGTGCAACCCGATCCCATTTCTCAATGTTTCCGTGGTAGGCGTACCACCCGCTCCCATTTCATCAAATCTCGTGGTAGGCGTACCACCCCCTCCCATTTCATTATATCAACAGTTCTTCCGGATAAAATTTACTCTAATAAACGCAACAATTAATACGAATTCATAAGACAACAAGTACACAATAATTATGATTCACTGAGGAAAACAAATAATGACAAGTAGCAATTAATTATGGGCTTTAAGGAGCAATTAGGAAATTTAGTATTTAATGTGTCGAATGTCAAGTAGCAATTAAGTCACATAAACATGTAACAATTATGGCATAAATTCAAGACATGACGTTGCACAAGGATACCTTGATTCAATAATAACAAGTAACACAATAAAAGGAAATGTCAACAAATAGAATCACAGTGATAGTGGAATAAGACAATTAAATGCACTTGAACTGATAATAATAAGAAATCATAACAAACGGTAATAGGTGCACGGCATCACCCTTCGTGCTTTTACTCTCATCCTCACCAAGTAATAATAAAATAAAATGTGCATGGCATCACCCTTCGTGCTTTTACTCTCTTTCCTCACATATAATCAATAGAATCGGCACGGAATGGTACATCGTGCGGCACGGCATCACCCTTCGTGCTTCACTCTCTTTCCTCACAATAATCAAACAATGCACGGCATCACCCTTCGTGCTTTACACTCTTTCCTCACAATAAACAAACAATGCATGGCATCACCCTTCATGCTTTAACACTCTTCCTCANGACCAACAACAACAATTATTTTCCTAAAACTCCATCGTTTCCTAAAAAATTAGTCCTTCGGATTTATTTTAGAAACCTAAGTCCTTTATAAAGAACCGCCGTTCAGGTTCTTCTTCCATAATAATAATAGTAATTCATTCTGCCTTCTCTCTCTGTTTTCACTGCGAGTTAAAAATTTCTTTCATATATAGCACTCTCTCCAATTCTTAGTTCTCTCTGTATTTTCACAGCAGAGTCAATCTCTGACTCGTTAAAAGAACTTGCAGATCATTGAAGGGTTGTTTTTTCTTGCGATTCTTATCTCTTTCTTGTTTTAATTTCTTTATTCATAATAGCAAATCAAAGACTGTCATGTCGATGGTATCACGGCTTCCCAGTGATCGATTTTACCCTACTGATGCAGAGTTGATCTACTTTCTGAAAAAGTTTTTGAAGGGCGAGTCTTTGCCCAGTGAATGCCCTATTCGACTTGGGGAAATCTATGGAGACAGGCCACCATGGGAGATTTCTGATCATCCTGAAGAGAAAATTGCCTACTTTATTTCTCCTTTGAAGAAGCGGAAGGAATCACATAAAAGGTTTCGCCGAACTTGCGCCAACGGGACATGGAAAGCCCAAACCGGCGGTGATCCTATCAAGAATAGTAAGGGAACTGTTGTGGGATTCAGAAAAAGTTATGTTTATCGAACTAGGAGTAGTAAAGGATCAAAGCAAGATAAAATCAATTGGTTGATGAGAGAATATTACGTGGGGGATGATTACTTCTGGGAAAACAATATTCCTAAACAAGATATTGTTCTCTGCCGAATAAAGAAGAACATAACAGAGAGAAATAGGAAGAATGGGGTTAATATGGAGGAACAAGAAGTTGCTCAAGTAATAGAAGCTATGTTGCGTGAACCTGATCAGACTATGAAGGCAGAGTATGCTGAACAACAGGATAACTATTTGAGAGGACTTAACAAAAATAGCCAAATTTTGACCACTTATGACAGAGGTGAAGCTACATTGGAGAATCATGGGGCCAACACCAACAGAGTGTACGTGATGACAGAAGAAGCAAATACAGCAGCGAGCCGACAAGAAGAAGCATATGGTCAATTATCCTTCCCTGGAATTCATGAGCAATATTGTGCTGAAGCTGATCTTAACACAGATAACAGTGACTTCTCAGATCTTAACGCAGATAACAGTAACTTCTTGGAACTAACACTAATGAATGGAATAGAAGACATTGTTCCAGATGATTGGTGGTACCAATTCTACTAGATAGATAGGCATGTAAAAAGTTAACGTCTGATATTTGTTAGAAATTTTTTGCCCAACTGAATGTTATGTCTGCAATAGTGCAATTATTATTTTTTCTTTCTGGGTATTGAAATTATTCTTTAATGTCACTTGTGTACCTTTTTTGGCTGAACAGAGAGTCCAGGAACTCTTTTATAACACTATCGAATTGATAATAACTCAAAAGAAAAAACAGAGAGCGCCAGAGATCTGTGTGCAAGAAAAAGTTATTTGCCTTCAGGATGGCAAGATCAAGATGCTGGATAAGATCAGTCAGTCATGCAATATTCTGGTTTAGATGTAGGCTCGTCAGCAAGGGAACGTCCAGTTTTTCGCGATACTTTTTTCATTTACTCCGTCGTTAGTAATTCACTGTTATAATGCTGACCATTCAAAATTTAACGCAAAAAAAAAAAAAAAAAATGGAAATATGCCCTTGCACAAAATAAATAATGCAGCAAAGGTAGCTGCTGTCACTACACATCGATCTAATATATACATAACTTTTCATCAGATTGGCGCCAAGGACTGTGTACCCATTCACAAGACTCAAAAGTTTAAGTGATTGGCGCTAACTGCCCAATTTCACATATGTCCACAAGAAATTTAAGTGACTCTACTACTGCACACAATTTTGCACCGGGCAGCAATTTACTACAGATTCTTTTGCCTCAGCATAGTGAGAACTTCTGTTCAAGATATGATGGTTCTTCTGTTTACAATCCTCCTTACTGAAAACCACCTTAGAACACTAAATAGCATCTTCCATCTTCGTTGAGCTTTATCTGGGGGAAGAATTGAACTACGAGCAAGAAAGCTGTTGACAGCACACTGTAGATCAGGTGATGGTGCAAAGTTTGGACTGGGAAGGGAATAGTCAGTGTCGAAGAAAGGCAGATGATCACCCTCACAAAATGGTGGAGTTATAGAATCAGTATCAGCCATCAAGGAGTCGGCGTCTTGACCGGGAAAATTTAACGGTTGGTCAAACCTAACATCCATGTTGTCTATACCATGCAAGACATAATCATCCAAGCTGCTGAAACCAGCAATTGAACAGAAGGATGGCATGATATCAGGTGTTGATGCACTTAAATGCTGATAGTCGGTTCTGCTAATCTTCTGGGAAGTTAAAACATTGTCATTGGCATCTGAACTGCCCATCATGGATGAGTTTGAGGAGATTTGAACAGCGGAAATTTGCATAACCCAATCCATAAGAGAAGACTCATCCTCAAAAGAGACTACTTCTTCCCAGTGTCTGAACGCACAAATCACCAAATTACGAGCATCATCCTGAAAAGAAAAACGAATGGGAGTCAATGCCTATTAGGAGCGATGCCAACTATAAACATATCAAGAATCAAGCCTTGGTACGTGAAGAAACAAAAAGAGCAATAAACCAAATATTCTTATTTATTAAAGGTACATGCCTTTTGAGTTTCGGACAACTTATCAGCAGAAACAAACTGACACTCTGGAAGAAGCCCCATCACTTGTCCAACGATGTTAAAAACCACACCAGTTTTTTGTACAGATCCAGATGAGTAGTACAAGTACACTTTCTTGTCAAGTAAGCATGTTTGAGCATGTTCTACCGTGACTTCCCACATTTTGGTGGACATACCTGTCCCAAGAACCTGCAAGATTTCCCAGGAAAAGGATTTAAAAGATTAGTCAATCTTGTTGAAACCGCAAGAGCACGTCAGTATTTTTACCTAGATTTATCAAATTTCTAAATTGCAATGTCAGCAGAGTGTAACCAGGCAAAATTCTGTTGTCGAACTCCTAAAGGATTACAGAGGATGCTCAAAGAAGATGCTAATCCACTAAGTAAAGCAATTAACTAGAAAACACACTAAGCGAAACAAAGGTAGGAAAAATAATAACAAGCATAACCAAGAAAAACAGAGGTTGCCAAAGAATCACAAACATTAGGAAATATGTCCATCATTATCACAGTCATGCTTGTTACACTATTCAACAAGGAAAAAAATAGATGTATCATTTAAGCAACATGTATACTAAATCCATTTATCTATGTAAGACAGTTGCAGTAGAACTCACATTCCGAAGCCTTGTAGGATCTAGATAGAGGAGAGTCAGAAAATCTTTCACTGTGTTGACTCTTTCCTTGCTCAAACGTCGATGGAAAGCTCCTTCCTTGCCAATCTTTTCCAGTCTCCATACTTCATCTGAAAGAGAAGGAGGATGGTGCTTCTTGTACACTGCAAATAAAGCAGGAAGTTAGATAGTGCCATGTTGCATATTTGACTTGAGAATTATTTGAAGCCTTTCCACCACAATCTCATTCATTGTGTTTTCCAAGTATCGACTCTAATTTGCTCTGAGGCGCAAGTTATGCACAGCTCATTACCATGTTAATCCTCAAGAAACCGACAAATGCATTAAGTTCAGTATAAATGAGTTTTAATTTGGTTTTCGTTTCTAAATATGTTGCAGATTCATTATACAGTTTGATTAACAGTTTCAAAAATCCACCTACCTAAAAGAATTCCAATATGGTGTTTAAATCATACAAAAGATGAGTTAGAGATTTTGTTCTCCGTTTGAGATGGAAGAGGGGTCAACCCTTTCAGTGTCTTCTTCTGTCATATTTCCCTTTTTCGCTCTGCCTAATGCTTTAGTAGAGAACTTTTATCTGCCTACTCCTTGGTTCTTTCAATAGCAACTTTATATCCTTATACTACAGTAGCCGCTTTCTCTATCATTAACCGGTATAGAAATGTCAACTTTCCTACTCTCCGATGGGTGTTGTTTAAGTTTAAGACAAATTTAAAATGTCACATGAGATCACCTCCTGCCTCAAGGCTTCTGTATTCGCCTTAGCTTTTTCTTTAAAACCACAAACTCTAGGTGAGTTACATGAGGGAAAAGAAACAAAATCTAATACTTGAGCATTCACTAGCCAGCTCGGTATCATTTGTCTCACTGAATGATAAACAACAGTGGGAAGTGTAGTTAACTGAACAAGGATTTAGACCAAATGCATTAGATAATTTAAATAGGCCAAAAAAAGATGGTTGATGTCAAACTATGGCAAGAATGAGACATTGATGGTAACATAAAATTTTTCATTTAAGGTATAAAATCCCAAGATGAAGCATAAAAATATATAACATATCCCAGACAGATAGCAAAACAACATTTCCATTACCTTACCTTGTATAAGCTACCTTGTAAATTGAATAGTTTCCTAAAAGAACTTACTACTATTTTACTTCTTTTTCACTCATATAAACGTAGTGCTTTATTCCTGTGTGTTAATATCTCTGCATTATCCGCACTGGAAGTATGGTTCTTTGTATTAAGTCAGAAACGTAACACGATATCTACTCCCCCGTCCCAATTTATATTGACCCATTTTCTCTTTGAAGCATCCCAAGATGTTAAACACTCTTTCTACAAATATTCTCTAACACACTCTTCCCTTCAAGAACTCAAAACAATTTAAGTTTTAAACGATGATGGGATGTTTCACCTATTACACTGCACATTTTTGCTTCTAATCAGACTATTGCAAAACAATTTTTTTTTTTTTTGCTTCTAATCAGACTTTCAAGCATGTTTTGTGCCAATATCATATCCCCAATTCCTATTGTCTGTCACTTAAAATCAGAAGTCCAGCATATTGCTCAGTACACAACACAAGATTTTAAAATATCAATGAGCAATCTGTCCCACACCAGTAGACTTGATTGTTTGCTTTGAATTAATAATGATAATTATAATCTTAATTGATAAAATCTAAAGACAGTACTACAGAGATTATCCGCAATAGAGATTAAAGTCAAACTTGATACACCCTAGGAAGCCTTCAATAGAAAGCAGATTGCTGATGTGAAAAGGACACTATCTAACACCTTTCAAGTCAAGCACTCTTCTATAATGGAATTTAGTGTTAGAGTTCACAACTTTTGAAAAGAAAAATCTGTCACTTAATACATCTAACAGCATTGTAGAAAGAAAATAGATATCAGGAACTCACACTCGCCGCGGTGATCCCTGACAATGAAGGATTCCGTCTTTGCCTCTTGCACACTGATTCCTTCAAAGCTATCAGCAAGCCTCGCCCCTAGCCTGAATTTACGGCTTCTTGTCCAGCTTGAGTTATCAGTAAATGAAATATCACTCACCCTAACCAATGCCCTCCTTGAGATACAAAAATGCATCCCCCAGCAAGGAGAGGTTTCTTTCCTTCCCTTTCTCTCACAATGTTATCTTGAATTCTTCTGCAGTCCAATTGTCCCCATCATCCCCATCAAAATCTCCCTCGAGTACTACTATTTCGACTTTTGCACAGGATTCAGGACCACTTGAGACAACTTGTCCAGTATGAGCATCAACCAGGGCTACTTTCAAACTAGATTCCTCTCCTTCTATGCGAGTTCCAGTAAATACTGGGGGCGAAATGACATCTAAAAACTTCAGCTTCAGGCTTCTAAGTTCACAAGCGTATACATCTTTCCCACAATTCCTAAAGAGGTGCAAATCGGAAAAAAAAACTTGCAAGACTAAGTCATAATAGAAAAGCATGAAGCGCATGTAGCGTTTGAATGATGGAGTCCAACTGCATACCGTTAAATGGTGGTCATGTACTCCTGAGAGCCAACTCAACTTCCTCTTTACCTGTAAGCTCAAGTTAAAACTGTATTTACTCTCCCGATCGAACCTAATCAAGACACGTTAAAGAAAAAACCTCAAAAGAGACAAAAACTTGATACNTAAAAAGTAAGCATTAATAATAGTACGTCGCTTCAATCCCAACTAAAATCGTCCTGCNGAGTTTAATTAAATAGTAAGTATCAAGACTAACCTCGGTGGAGTAGTGACGAGGAACAGTCAAGGCACCTACCGGTCAATAAACAGTATAATCATAGGAATAATGGAAACGACTTAGCTTGTGACACCAGGTTCTGGCACACACACATTGGTAGACTTATTTTGGACTTGTAATATTATGTTACTTACGGTATCCATCTCTGTTAGTCTTAAATCCTAATTTAAGGTGGTTATTTCTCTTAAATCCTGATAGAATAAATATAAGATGTTTGAAAAGTTCCGCAGTGGCTTGCCTGGCAACGGTGCCGGGTGCCCTCACAACCTATTATGGAAATGGGCCGTGACAGCGGCCCTGACTTTCTAGACCGGTTATGTCTTTTTTCCTTCTTTTATAACCTTGTGCATTAGTTGTGAGCTATTCATCTTCAAATGTTGTACGTACATAAATATCGAATTAAAAAAAGTATTTAAATAAAGAGTTAAGTATCACATTTTTCATTTGAAAATATTTTTCACAAAATATTTCGTTCAAAAACACCGAATATCTGAAATAAAGGGAATTCAAGAATAGCCTACCTTTTTAATTAGGTGTAGGTAACTATGAAAAATGTAATAAGAAAAAAAACAATCTGAGAGCATGTTTGGACATAAATTTTATTTTTATGTTTTTCGAATATTTTTTATTTTTTCCGAAATCAGTGTTTGGCCATAAAAATTTTAATTTTCACTTGAAGATGCATTTTGAAATTTTTCAAAAATTTGAAAAACTCCAAAAAGGTGGTTTTCAAAATGTTCATTCAGATTACTCACAAAACTTTAAAAACAACCCAAAATTATATCCATGTCCAACACAACTCTAATTTTCAAATACCATTTTCATTAAAATTGTTTTTCACTTTTTTTGAAATTTTACCACTCTTATGTCCAAACTAGATAAAGAATGCCCGTGTGCGGGCCCAACACATTAAGCATTCTGTTTTTTTTCCCAAGTATTCCGGTGCCAATGAAATAGTTCTCCATCTGTAGAAAGAAATTGGAATATCAAAACCAGCAGGATTTTCGATACATCAAACATGATAGGATGGTACAATTAAAAAGTTATTCTAAGAGATAAAGTGCTGCAAGATCCTATAGACGTTATTCTGAGGATCATAAAATTCAATGTCATTGCTGTATAAAAGAGGATTGTATGAAGCAGCATCCTATAATTGAGGATTACAGGTTGTCTCTTAACCATTTTAGTGCACCATTCAGGACAGACCTGCGATCACAAACGTTTAATTAGGAGCAAGATATATTGGCAATAGGAAAAACAAAATTACAGCACTTGAAGTTTAAGGGAAACTAAACCAAAATGTGGATAGATCAATTATTGCAGAATTAAGACCATGCCAATGGTGCAAAATTTATTTTTAAACCAAAGTACAACACCAAGCTAAAACATACACGTACAAGTAAGTTGTCAGTCTACCATGGCTCGGTAAATGTAAGTAATGTCTATTTTCTGGCACGTTTGCTCAATTCATAAAGCAAAATCACTTATATGGTTAATGATAATGGGCTCTACCCGTGGGTTTAAATGGAAAGTAGGTGAATTCCATGGTTCTAACAATATAAGCATCTATCCAAGAACTAAATACTTTTCATGAAAAATCCTAATTAAAGAGTAATATCAAGAAATTTACCTAGAAAAATTTGTTAACTTCTTCAACGGATCATCTTGATCTTCTGATGACTCATTGGTTTTTGATGTACTTGAATCTGAATCTACTGAAGTTTCTGTTGTTTTAGCTGCGAAGCAGAAAAGATGGGTCAACGTTTATGCTAGAGGAATCGACTGACTATAAATGGGATATTTATTTTGACACCTAAGTGCCATGGCTTTTAGTTTACTCAGCCTGATCATAATTTTCCTACATTTAGAGCAATAGGTGTTTTCCTTTTGAGTGAGGAGAATTTCTAGACTTTGATATTGAGAGTGAATTCAGAACATAATTTTCTTATCGGCTGAGTGAAAATACTTCCTTCTTTAGAACAGTTGTCCAGAGGAGGGGTTCTAACACGTGACTATAGTTTCTAAAAAAGAGTATCCATAAGAATGGTGCAATGATTATGCGAGACAATATCAAATTGGTAAGTTTTATTATCTAGGGATACCATCTTTTAAAACTATAGTCAAAGGAAAATACCTCTCGATGTCTCTGTTTCACGCTTATTAAGCACAATGACTTCATTGAAGCTTGAGTTTCATGCATTGAAGCACAAAGTTACCATGAAACATGAAGCACTGGTTTGTCCAATACTGTCTATTATTTTTTTCCATCATTGCTATGCTATTTCAGTATTAGAATAGACAAATTCCATACACTTGTACAGAATTTTGTTGGGGGCTGGTCATTTTTCGCCCACAGCTTGATTATTGGACTCCACAATGCTATCAAAAGAGGGAAAACAAAAATTTCGAAAATACTTTGCAAAACCCACCTTTGAGCGTGACCCGGGTTAACTAACTTCATTTTGACCTGTAAAATCAGAGCTTCTTAGTGATATTGATAAACAAAAATACTTGGGTCTGAAGTTAAATGGATGATATAGCTAACTAAAAATTGGTTATCTCTGATTGTACTACATAGTATGCACAATCTGAAGAGAAATGAACAATATTTATGATGTTCACTAAATCAAACAATGGTTATTTTAGATGCCAAAATGAAGGGAAAGAAAAAATTACATCCTGCCTAGGCAAATATATTGCAGGAAGATCATCAACATAGGTAGTGAAGATCAAACTACCTATTGTGCATGAGTAGAAAGTTGTCTAATATACAAGTTTAAGATTTTGCTTGAATCATCACCTAACCACATCTTTCCTGTTTAGGAAAGAGGAACTCTACCTCGATAGGGAATATTTTGAATGCGAATTGAGTTCTTCAAGTATAAAATGGTTTGTTCACAACCGAATTCAAACTTGACAAATTCTAAAAGGAGAAAAAATACAAAAGGAGATTCAAAACACTCATACAAACACACAAAGGAACACAGATTATCCGACGTGGATTTGGAATGCCACATATCAGTCCCATATTTGCTGGAAGCTCCTACGCTGCTCCTCATTGTAGACTTTAAAAATCACTTTTACATGTCCTTATACAGATAAGTCACCTAAAGGCTAAATGCATATATATAACTTTGCTAGGCAGGACTAATCCATGTATATACAGATGACCACATATGACCACATGCTCAGATGACACAATATCCAAGACACTTAAGTTATTTTCCCATAAATGCATAATGAAGTTTGCTGAGATTAGTAATATCCCGAGAAAGTAACTAAATACTAAGAGTATGAAAAATAGAAAATGTGATTAGCTCAAACGTCTCCAAGATACCAGGGCAGCATGGCCTACAAGAGCAATTTGTAAAGCTGGTGATAACCTTTAAGGATGAAACATAAATAAGCTTCAGGGCCCGTGTTTCAAAAAGACTACGGATTTGTGAATTGAATATTTTTGGTTTTTTTATTTGATAACCAATTGGCTTAACTTCTCAGTCCCATCACCACCTTTTAACAATTTACCAGCCCATATAAGGTTGATCGTTTGAAGAAGTGATCTATTTGCAACTTCTTCTCTTATGCTACTGAGGAAATAGAAAGCAAAGTAAATAAAAAGAATAGCCGGTACAATGATGGAGTGAGTTTCACCCTAAGTATTGATATTGACAAAAAGCAAAACCATCGAGAGAAATCGAGAAGCAAAGGAGAAGATACAGATGTCAGTAGAAGTATTGATATTAATAGAAGTACTGATATTCACATAGCAGAACAAAAGGCAGATGAAATTCCATGAAAAGCAATGAGAAATATCTGTAGGTGGATGTGGATTGTTATATCACAGCTGGCCTACTCAGCAAAGTTTAGCGTACTTGTATACGAAAAGGCAAGAGGTAGCAAAATGCTTTTAATTGACATTCCTTAGTAACAAAAGATTATGCAGATTAATATACTTATGCTTGTAGTCATTCAACAAATAAAGATAACTTGGTGTCGCACTCCCTTAACTTTCTTTGTGCAACTCTGCATTCCAAATATAAGTATTTCTTACAAAGGCATAAAAAAAATCTAACCTGCTGTAGACTATACTTTGAAAACAGCATAAGTAGCACTTGCACAATACTAAGATGTCGTTGTGTTTGATCATGTTGAGAAGGTATTTTCGTCCAAATAAAGCTTCATTATTCAAACTTAGATATAAAGGTTTGCCAAGGCAGTGCATTACCACCAAATTTAAAAAAATTGTACCAAAAATTAGAGATTCAAAAACACTATTTCGATGCAAATACGAGAAAATCTTCAACACACAGAATCTTTAGAACCCCCCCCCCCCCCCCCCTTTCTTGCCACAAAGAATAATAAAAACAATTTCTACATACCAATTTCCAGAATAAATTTTCCGTAAAAATTCTGAAATCCACACCAATTTTCACAATAAATTCCCGTAAAAAAACCCTAAAATTCAAAGTAAGCACCGTTGTAAATTTCTCCCCTTTCTTCAGTTCCAATGAAGCAGCAAAAACCCATTCATTCAGAGCTTCGACAACTATGTAAATTCGAAATAGGGAAAGTCAAACAGATTTTTTCTCTAAAATGCAAATTCCTACCAGATGAAGAACGGAGATGAAGCCTCGTAGTACATAGATCAGGAAAGTAAATTAATACAAAATGATTACCTTGATGCGACAAAGTTAGAGCAGGGAATAAGTCCAAACCCCAATTTATCTTATGAAGAAGATGGTGGAGCTCCATAAAATGGAAGTTGATTTAATTTAAGCTATGAATTGCAAAAGTATTTCAAAATCCATGGAGGAACGGGTATATGCAGAGAATAAGTTGACAATAATGAAGAGAGAGAATCACATAAGATAAAGCTGTAGGTATAAAATGACTATGTAACCCTCGCTAATTTAAGGAGCGTGCGTTATCAGATACAAGGACATAATAGAGAATCTAACACAAAATTAGACTGAAATGACCAACGTAACCCCCGGTCGGCAAGCAGGGATGTCGGACCGAGAGCAACTTCTGCGCTCTTCTATGTAAGTGTACTAGTAGGATTAGCCCGGGCTACCGGGCCCAACATCAACAATGTTATACTTTTTGTTATATATTATGATATCTTGTCACCGTAAGGGTAACATTGAGCGGAAGGATTTTCAGTTTAGGTCTTCATAGTAAATATTTCGTTTTAAGAGTTAATATGTTAGTACTTCGCTTAACTTGTATATTATTTTGTATAGGTATACGGCTATGGTTTCATTGTTGGATTATGGCTTCATTGTTGGATTAAAGCTATGATGAAACCTTTGGAGTTTTGGAGGTACGATGAAAACATAAATGTACATATAATGGGAGCTACTTGGGTTTACCAGATTATTCAAAGAGTTAGTTTGCGTAGGTAATAGTAAACAGTTGATGAAAATCCACATAGTTATTTACACAAAATGTGGAGGATTGTACTGCAGTAAACAACATCATCAAAATCTGCCTTGATAAGAGTCAGTTTGCGTAGCCATTCCCATTTATACAAAATGTGAAACATTGTACTGTTTACAATCTATGTACTTATTTACACAATATGTGAAAAATTATACTGTAGTAAACAACACGACCAAATTCTGTCATTAATGCAAGTATTACAACTGTTGTAGGCTATCAAAAAATATTGAGGCGACCTTTGTTGCACTTCAAATCTGATGAGGCATCTGCATGAAGAACAAATTGAGAGTTAAAGGGTAAAATAGTAGTTGGCAATATGTAATTTGGACCAAGAATTGTAAAGACGTTGGACAGAGATTTTGTTTTGAATTATTAAAAAAATTCTGAAATTGTCTTGCAATGTGAGAAACATAGGCTTTAGTACAATATAAGCAAAATCCATAAGGCTACTTTTTGACATAAAATAAGCATTATAGTGGACAGAAATTTAGAGCAGTCAACTTAATTGTTCATTAAGTAGTGTAAAAACAGGCAATATTAATTCTTTTGAGATTTCCAAATGTCATCCTGCCAAATCATTTAACAAAGAATTAGAATGCATGAATGTATGGACAAACAATGTTGTTCCTTTTTTACCCGACAAAACTTTGATTATATATGAACTTATTGTTTGTGTTTGCGGTTGTTTATTAGATGCACCTTTTTTTGTTTTGTTCTTACACAAAAAGTAACTTACTTAAAAGCTCTTAAAAAGAGTATGGCCTATCAAGTATCAATCTGTAACCCTGATTATTTTTGCAGAGGACTTGGTAATTGTACGCTTGGTTTCTTGCTTGGGTTTCCATCTTCTGTTGATGGAGTGCGATTTGCTTCTTCGGAAGTTATTGATTCTACCTTTATTTTACTTCGCTCGCCAATAGTAGCTGGTGTTGAAGACTCTGTCAGGCCGAAGACAATCTGTTTATGCATATAAGATAAGATAACAAAGGTACCGGGTGGTCTATCTGGTGTTCTAAGTAATGTTTTTTGTAAATGAATTTTGAACAACTTGTTTAGCAGGTGTTCTTTGATATCCTCAACATGTAACAATTGTTTCTGTGGGAATACGTTTGCCACAAAATTAGTAAAGTGAAGACTGTAAATTAATTTTGAGTGCAAAATGATTCTAGAGTTGTCAGTATATGCACCTTGGCAATGGTAGTTTCATATATTTGGTCTGCTGTCAGTGAAAGCATTGTTTCAGCTAGTTTGTCCGATACTGATGTTTTTATTGTTGTATTGGAAAAAATTTAGTTTGCATATTGTAGATGAAGTGTCATGACACATAGACTGGTCAAACAATCAAAGAATTAAGGCTAGTTAAGAGGTACGAGCAACAACAGATACGAGCAAGGTAAATAGAAGAGGCACGAGCAGTCGTACAAGTCATTCAACCCTCGTACCAATTCAAGATATTTAAAGCTCAAAGATCGTGAAGAATCAAAGGAATGAATCTGACAGTAAATAAGAGTCCCGATACAGTATTTAAAGCTCAAAGATCGTGAAGAATTGTAAGGACAGCAAATAAGAGTCCCGATACAGTATTTAATGAATATTAAATACTGGAAACGTTAGAGAATATATATTTAATGTATATGATTGTGTAACGTAGTATTAAAAGTCATTAATTGCCCATAATAGCCTTATTATGACAAAGGTAAGGCTCATATCCCCTAAAATAGCTATAAAAGGGAAAGGAACAAACAATTGTAAGGACACGAAACACTATTGAAATATACTTTGATTTACTTGTTTTCTGATCATATTATCCACAAATATCTTTCTTTATATACTTTTCTGATTATCAGTAACCCGTATTCTTCTAAAATCTAGCTTTGACTAAAAATCTAATTTTTGGTTAAACAAATTGGTTCCGTTAACGGGAATCTGATAATCAATTATATCTCAACTTGATTTTCTTTGTTGTATCAACTATGTCGAACAACAATGACAAGGAAACAAAGAAAATCAATCGAACCAACCACTTCAAGGAGATATGCGAGACAATAATGCATTAGTTCCTTCTCCACAAGGTTCACCACGACGATCTCATGAAGGAACTCCTGAAGGATCTCACACAGAAGAACAAGTTCAATTTGAGAATGTTCAAGCTATGGATGATGCTTTACAAAAACTTATCGCCACTCAGGTCAACAAAGCTTTACAGGCTTTCATTAGTCAATTACATGCTGCTCCACCCACACCTACTCCAAATAACAATACTTTGGAGAATCCTCGTTCTGGACTGGTTAATTCAGGCAGCGGTGGAACCCTCAGTGAAACACAGGAGGGAGACTCAGGTAATCCAGTTAATTCTGATTTACAAAATCTAGTACTAACATTGCAGAAACAGCTTAAGGATCAAAATGACCGCATAGAATAAATACCCGGAGTGCCGCCCGTGATCAAAGGGGTAGATATAGATAAATATTCTCAACAGCCCTGGAAACCAAGTGCCGCCCCTCTCCCAATTCCAAAGAAGTTCAAGATGCCTGATATTCCAAAATATGATGGGACAACGGACCCACGAGATCATGTTACTGCATTTACAACAGGTGTCAAGGGCAATGATTTGACTAAGCAGGAGACTGAATCAGTCTTGGTCAAAAAATTCGGTGAAACACTCACTAAAGGGGCACTAATATGGTATTCTCTTTTACCTGAAAATTCTATAAATTCTTTTGCTGAGCTTGCAGATTTATTTATCAAAGCACACCCGGGAGCTCAAAAAGTTGAAAAGAGAATGGAAGACATCTTCAAAATCAAGCAAGGAGATTC